GCCTTCCTTGACCTTCTGGATTGAGTTTACTTCAACAGTTTGAAGGAAAGGATCTATTGGTGGAAAGATGGATGATGCTCTAGCAAAATCAGGGTGGACTGTTCTATCATGTGCCCCACGAGTAATGGCAGCCCACGTTCCACAGAAAATGAATGCTTTTACTCCATCCCCAATCTTGCGAGATATACATCCACCGACTACCATTCATCCACATGTAAATATGTTCACTTGAAAAGCTGAAAGGGGTGCTTCGTCGTCTGATACCTCAGAGAAGGGACAGCATGTAAGGAATTTGTTCAGCCACTCAATATCTGGATGTTCAAAAACTTCAGACAGGGCACAAGTGATTCCGGCTTCCACAAAGGGCACACTTCATAAAAGCGATCGACGTGGATGTTATCTGTCACCATAACAGAAAATGGATAGGAGATTAAGCGTTTCTGAGAGGGAACCCCTTAGGGGGAGCTAAGGTTTGAAAGATGTCAAGATTAATGGCTTCAGTCTTGGAGTAGAAAATGTTAAGTACAGCGTAAGTAGTGGCGGTGAGCTGATTCAAGAGGCGGAGCTTATAGGGTTGTGCGAGATATTTTTGTATCAACGTCCAAATATTCCACAGAAGCATGCCTTAATATTTTGTTCAGCAAATAAATTGATCTTTTCCTGTTTTAATTTGATCATATCACACTCTTACTGTGTTTTGTTAAAATATCAGTCCAATAAATGCCTATGGTCCAGTCAAATCATATCAACAAGGGAGTTGCAACGAAACACTCAAGAATATTTTGGTAAGAGTACAACAAGAGGGGCATTGAAAGCTATTTTTTGTTAATTGATTCCGATCTCAAAAGATATATTTGGATGAACTACGTGGAAGAAACAAACAAAAGGCAAATAAATTGAGATAATCCTCCTTCATTTGTCACTTTTGGAGTTAGTGGTTAGTTGCTTCGCGATGGTTAATAATTAATATATACACAAGTGATTTTACGGTAATAATTTATTATATATTTTTTAGAGTTCATTTTTTTTAAAAAAAAAAAGATAGATAAATATAACTTAAAAAAATCTAAATGAAAATATTTTTATCACTTTTAGTGAGTTATGAATTTTATATTCTTTTCTTTTAGTATTTATCTATTTTTTTAAGTGGAGTTCATGATATAATTAATAAAAACAACACTAATCATTCTTTAAACACTGTAAGATTTTCCTTGCATTAAATCAAATAGCCAAGAATTTATTATTTTAACAAAATCAGGTAATTACTTCACAAGTCTTGTAGGCAACCGGGTGTCAAAAACATCGTGGTCTCATTTTCGGCAAGAGAAACTTTGGAGGACGTCCACATGCCCGCGTTTGCACAGGAAGAAAATGGTTCTGTTAAAATAAAATGGGAAACCACAACCCAATAGGCATCAAGCCCATGGTCTGTACAGGATTCTAGCCTATCCGCACAGCCTGTAAGGCCCAAATGGTGCACCTACGAAAAATTAATAAAATTTGCAGCCTTTTTTTTTTCTGCAATGGGCCGAAACTGTAATGGCATGTAGCAACAGCGCAAATGTGATTTTTACGGCTGTGGCAAAGCTAGCTCTTCACATAGAACAACCAGAGTGAGTGGACTCAGAAAATCGGTTTCGTGTGCACTGCCCATAGGCCTAATGCAGAGGATGAAGGCCGGATCCTCGCTTAAAATCTAATCTGAAATTTGGTTCAATCGGGACAATCCAGCACTAGAACACGTGTCCAAACCAAGAAGTCAAAAAACTACCATTGTGTACCTCCTGAGATGGTAATGATGAAAGGCATCACAGATTCACCCATTCTTGTCTTTTTGGCGTTGCTTGAGAGAATAGTTAAGGATTGATTTTCAAATTAGTTTTTAATTGTAAAAATATTAAAATAATATTTTTTATTTTTAAAAATTTTATTTTTGACATTGATATTTAAAAATATTAAAAAATTAATTTGAAGCAAAAATAATAATTAAATTTTAATGAAAAACATATTCACTCTCAATTGCAAACAAAGATTAAAAAACCCATCACAACCTTCTTAAATGTCAAATAGCAAGTAGTTTACTCTTGGCCCGCGCTTACTACAGATTAGTATTACTGACATGTTTTTTTTAATATTATTTTTATTTTAAGTATTATTAACATGTTTTATGATAAAAATAATTTAATATGATATATATTAAATGATATATTTTTTAAATATTGATACGGTAATATATTAATAGTTATTTTTTAAAATATTAAAACAATAATATATTTGATCGGTCCGAGTTAACGTGTCAATAAATTAATAAAATTAGAAAGAAAAAAAAGCAAAATATAAATATAAATCACTATTCCAATTAATAGTGTTTTTATCATTATAGATGCATTGATTTTGACACACTCTTTAGTATTTTGTTAATTAGATAGATGACTCATATTACATTGTTGGTCAACTTAATTTTTTATAATGTAAAAAAAGATATTAAGTCAACACAAGCATTTCTAAAAAAAAAAAATTGCGACTAAGGTCATTAATTTAATTAGATTTAATAAACTTTACTAATTTAACCAAATTAAAAAATTCAATGACAATAAATAAACTTAAAAGAAATTGACAACAAAAATGTTAAAAAAAACCCAACATGATCTTATGCAAGTTAGCATATCAAATGTACAATCTGGTTGTGATACAAGAATAACTCTATCAAAAATAAATTAAATAAAATTATAAAACTTAATTACTAAACAATCTATTATTAAAGGGCGAAACATCATAAATCAATAAAAAAAAAAATTTAGTAAACACGAGTTAATCTACTAACTCTGTTATCATAGAGCATATGATTAATATAACCCATATAGAAAAAAATGAGAAAAAAAAATACTAATATCAATTCTCAAAAAAATAAAATTGAAAAACAATTTAAGAAAAACCTTAAAAAACCATGATCTTCTCCTGAGTTCGAAACTAATCCCATAAAAAAATCTAAACAATAACTAAATTTTCATATTTAAAAAAAAATTGCATGAAACAATTTTGGGTTCAATAAAAACAATTTTAATTTTAAAAAAATATTTATTTGTCAATAAAAACAAAATAAATTCAATAATATTGTACACGACTCTCGTGTCCACATTTAGATACAGGTTTGATCATGTGAACTACATTTATTCATTGTAGTGTCTAGGGGTGTTCACGGTTCGGTTCGGTTCGGTTTAGACTAAAAAAACTAACCGAACCGAATTACTGTATTATTGTAAAAAAAGTAACCGAACCGGACCGAAAACCGGTTCAAACCGAACCGGTCTAGTTCGGTTAAATCCAGTTTTTTAAGGAAAAAACCGGGAAACCTAATCCCATGGGTTTTTTTGGTTTTTTCTTTAAATTGGCTTACAGTTTGGGAAGATTTAGTCTTTTATTCATTATAAAATATTACAAGTAAAACTTACAAGCACACGAAGGCCAGAATAGAATTAACAATGCATAAACAGTAAACTTTACCTCTTTGACTCTTTCTGTTGTAGGTGAAGAGAGACACAAGGGGTTTTGTTCGAGTTTTTTTTCCACTGCAAGTCTACTAGATTGATGCGGAGATATGGGTTATTTATTTATTAATCAACTAGAAAAGAGACAGACATGCAGGGGGCAAGAGACAAAGAAGATGAAAATTGAAAGGGAAAGGAAGAAGGTTGGTTTGGTGTGGGTGGCGGCTGCAGATGAAAACTAAATGAATTAGGTTTACATTTTACTGTACCATTTAGGCATTTAGTATTTATACTAGGTCGTTTCTGCCTTAGCTTTATTTTAATGGGTAGCCGGTTCGGTTCACCGGTTTTGGTGGTGAAACCGAAACCGAACCGAACCGGACAGATTTTTTGGTTTAGTAATCGGTTTTTTATCTCGGTTCGGTTTTTACGGTTAATTTTCTATCGGTTTTCTCGGTTTTTTCGGTTATTCGATTTTTTTGAACACCCCTAGTAGTGTCATCCCAAAATTGACAGCAATGGTGTCAGGGATCACAAACAAGCAAAGAACGCCGTGATTACTGTACAGGCTGAGGAATAAAGAGTATGGTATATAAGAAAATCCTATCAAAAATTGGCCTGAAGAATATTCTGCGCAAAGGAAAGGGAAAAAAAAATCATTTTTCAAGCACTTCACAAATTAAATTGTAAGAAATGCATCTTTTAAAATGACTATTGTTAATCTCTTTATGTCATCATTAAAGAAGATAGTACATTAAACTAAAATATAATAAACATTAATAAAACAAAATTATTAATAAATTCAGCATTGCCCATATATATCTAAAACATACTTCATGAGTAAATTTTTGAAGGTTTTCAACAAGAATCGACTGAAGATATATGCTTGCCGATTTTTCCTTCTATCCTATCTCTTTTTAGTTTCTCTGCTAGGAGCTCGCAGTGAGTATTTATGGATTGGATTTATTTATATTTACATCATATTTATTATTTATTAAGTAAAAAATTCACAGCTAGCGTAAAATATTGTTAAAATGCATATATTATCATGGCGAGGATATGTAATTGTGTTCTGCTCATGTATCGTGTGTTTGTTTATCCACTCTGCTAGTGATATATAGACTAAGTTTATCCAATGATTTTTCATCTTTAAGACATAAAGAATATGATATAATATTAACTGATGTATAAACTTTGTTCAACGATGATCTCCAACGGTATAAAAGAGTTCATCATTTCAGGAACAAGTTATATTATGCTGTGACCCGGGTCTATTCTAGCGTTGAAGATGCTATTTTTTTTTATTCAACGATAAAAATATTTTTTAAGTCAGCTTAAAAGAAGCTAGTAAACTGCAAGGTGAGGAAAAATAAAAATACATAGCATAAAATGATATAATTTTATAAATTTTCATTAGACTGGAAGCTGAGCTACAAATTCAAAATCCATTCAAGAAGAGTACACCAATTGTGTATTGTCTTCTTTTCACGTGTGTACGTTAATGTTTTTTTGTTTTTTTTTAAAAAAAACTAAGTTCACATCATGCACAAAAGCATCACCAGATTCAGCGTCTCCAATAATTTAATAAGGCATGATATGAGTAGTTTTGGTCTCGTAACTCACCGCACCACCAAGGCCGCCACCATTTTTACAGCCACGTCTTAAAACCTTGATCAAGTCACCACACATCCTCCTTACATTCCCTTCCCCTACTCCACTTTGCATAATCAACAAGACTTTTGTCACTCCATTGCTCCTCACCACTCTCTCCAACACCTTCTCATCCCTAAAAAGACAACACATGCTCCACAGCACCACTACGGCATCCTCCGTTGCCGTTTTCGAGACCTTCATTAATCTCTCCACTATCGCCCCTGCGCATGTCGGGTCAACGCTTATCGCTGACCGTCCATCCGCACACGTACAAATCATTGACAATACCTTCAGTGACTTTTCCACGACAGAAACGGCGGCTTTTGGGCTCAACAGCATGCTCGATAGAACTCCAACCAGTCCGAGTTGAACTAGCCGAGTCTTGATTGACCGAGTTATAGACACCGAAATCAAAAACGACAGGACCACTTCGTTTAAATCCTGATGGTCGTTTTCAGTTTTGAGAAGTTGTAATAGAACCGGCAAGACGTCCTGTGTACCTGCAACGAGCTGTTTTGATTGGTTGTTCATTGTAATTGACTCCAAAACGGTGACGCATGCGATACTGTACTCCAAACTTCCGTTTCGCAAAACAGAAATAAAGGAAGGCAAGCAATTCGAACTTGATGTGAAGACTAATTCGTGCAATTTCTCATTGACTCCATTTTCAAGCAAAATTGAACTTAATACCCTGATAACCGACTCCAGAACACGAATTGGCACGCAATTAATGTTCAAAACACCCACGATCGCCTCGAAAAAACCATCAAAGCTAACCAAAAACCTTCGGCTTACCTCTCCACAACTAACAAACTCTACAATCGAATCCAAACACCTCTCTATCTTTCCGCTCTTAATCTCTTCAATCCAAGCCCTAACTTTCTCTTCGGAAACTGCCAGAGCGAGAGCAGAGGATTTGGTGGCGGATGTGGTGGTCCAGAGGTTGATGAGGCGGTGGAGAGTGAGGTTAGGAACAAAGTCCTTGGAGGGGAGGATTTGCATGGTAGCGGGACAGGTGTCGTGACCGGAGTCGAGCCAATGTTGAATACTGGAGCGATCGTATGTGACGCCGGTGCAGAGACTTACGGGAGACTTCATTACGTCAAGAGAGATCGGACAGCGAAAGAGGCTGGGTACAGTTATGCAGAGTTCGTCTCTCCCCATTCTTCTGAGAAAAAAAAAAAAAACAGAGAGAGAGGCAAAGGCTGGGGACAGGAGACGTAGGGGTTTTGTAGGGGAAGGAGTCAAAGGGTAACGTCGTGTTTTTTTCTTAGTCAAATTTTCAATTTGTTTTTATATTTTTAATAAAAAGGATGAGCTGGAATTGAACTGTGCGCGATCCAATTATTTAAAAAATAACAATTTAATTTAAAAAAATTTTAAATAAAAAAATATTATTTTAATATATTTATTTGGAAAAAAAAACCTGTGTCGCTGTCCCAGCACCCTTTAAAATTAGAATGCAACCGCGTAACCGGTGCAGCTCTTCTCCCATTGGTGGTCCCCTACCCTAATTCAAGGTATTTTTCTACCCTCTTTTCTTTATTTATTTTACTTATAAGGTGGACATAATCTTATTTTTATTCAAAAGTATCTTCAATGGTTGAAAGATTGCTTGGACGTGGCAGAATACAATAACTTGGTCAAGTTTCACTTAGTTTTTCTATTAAAAAAATAAATCATCTTAAGGATATTGAAGTGTGAATCGGTTCACTTATTATTATTTTTAAAAAAAATAGAATACCAGATGAAATAATCCCACCCACCAGAAGAAAACACGGTGAGAGATGAACATTTTGTCAAATATGTACGACTACTCAAAATTGCTTATTTCACGATTAGGAGGAGGGCAGGGCCACGTAGATTTTCTTGGGCAGTTTAGAACGTGTTTTTTATTTAAAAATATATTAAAATAATATTTTTTTATTTTTTAAAATTATTTTTGGTATTAATACATCAAAGTAATTTAAAAAAAATAAAAAATATTAATTTAAAATAAAAATAAAAAATTTAATTTTTTTAAAAACACTTTTAAAATAAATAAAAAATAAATAGGATGGTGCAGTGTGAAGTCCAATTTGGTGTTCATTAGCGTTGGGTTTTAATTTATTATTATATTTTTTTAGGTGCAAATATGTATTAATTTTTTTTTTTTTTTAGATTAACGTGGGTGTCCGGACCAGCTTGTGCGCACCACGACTAATCCCACGGGTCCTGAAGTTAACGACCATGTAAGTTTCCGGTGGCCATTATATAAATATGTATTAATTATTAGTATTATGAGTTGGTGAGTTACTTGTGTATGAAGATTGTGAACACAGAGGATTCAACTCAAAAAAAAAAATTAATGCAGAAAAGAGGTGGGCGTGAGCTTGGAACTTTGAATATAATGCCTTCCGTTAGGCAAGAAACGCATTCCGTAGCGTGCTTTCCTTCCTGTTGACTAACTTGTTTTGTTTCCATGTGATTTTCCAATCTCAAATCCTTTGCTGGGTTTTCTTCCTTCTCTTTTGAGATACTCTCCCGTGTGAACTAGGAAAAAATAGACAAGTGCTCGAGGCTTTCTAGGTCCTATTGGCGACTAATTATAAAGATCCAACTTTAGCTTATTTTCAAATCTGGGTACGAACATACACAAAAGAGAAAGAGTGAGAAGATGGCACCTTGTACAATTTATGTTCAAGTTTTGATAGTTAAGTAATTTATCGTTGGGTCTCTTAAATTTTTAACAGCGTGTTACAAACAAGTAATTCTAGACAGTGAAAGTTAAATTTTACACGAGGATACACAAAGTTTTTAATTGGATTATAAATTTATAATTTTTTTTAACATCAAAGTTTTTTATATAAAAATTTTAGTATTCATTTATTATGATGGCTTGTTTTTTTTTTTTTTCTTTTTAATTGGTTGACCCTATTTTAATTGCATAATGAGAGAAAAGAGTTGGGAGTTATGAATTGTAAAATTATTTATATTAATGCATTTTTCCAATAAAAATATATCAGGACTTGATTGTGTGGATTGATTTTTTTATGTAGTTTTGTGTGTGTGTGTGTGTATTCAAGGATGATAAATCTCACTTTTTTCAATTATTTCCTATGAAAGGTATTGGTGGATAATCACCTTTATTACAATAATTTGTTTTTTCCACTAAAGTGTAAAAGAAAGAAATTTGCTGATATAAAGGAAGTAAAATAAAATGCACTTAACATTAAAGCCATTGGTATGGTTAGAAAATGAATACCTTTTAAGTCCATCAACTATATTTTTCAAGAATATAATTTCTACAAAGTTTGGAAGATGCTAAATAAAACTCTTGCCAACAAAAGTGCACAAAACAAGGCTTTTATAATTAGAGATCTTGTGAATTTAAAATACAAAGATGATGAAAATGCTTCATTACACATAAATGACTTCTAAAAAAGATTTAATTAGTTTTTGTTAATGAATCTTGAGTTAGTCGATAAGTACAAGCATTAATCTTCTTGAATTTATTACTAGATAGTTGAAAGATTTTGATAATGTCTTTAAAACTTTTACTCTTCATAGAAATCTTACTCTGAAGATAATGAATGATAGTATTCTCAGTGAAGAGAAAATGAGAAAGGAGACTAACACTTCTACATCTTATATACTTGTTACACAAAACAAAGGAAGAAACTAGAGTAGATTCTCTCATGATAAGTAAAATGAAGAATTTGGTGATAAAAAAAAAATGAAAGCCTAAAGGATAAATCTAAATCAAGGAAGGAAATTAAATATTATTACTATAACAAGTCTAGCATGATCAAAAGGATTGCAAAAGGTACAAAAAAGATCCAAAGGGTAAAGACAATTATAAGAATAAAAAAATGGTACAACTCTAGTTGTTTCAATAATGATATTGTTATTGTTTATGATGATAGTTATGTTAATTTTGCATATCAGAATGCCACAAGGGTTATAAATTTAATATTAAATGCTATTTTAACAACCCATTTATATTTTAATATGTGTTATTTTTTTTTAAAAAATAATCTCTTAGTATTTAACTAGTACTTCTTCAATCATTGTGTACTTCTTACCATAGAGTTCAACTAATATCATATTTAGAATAATCATACCTTATTCTAATCAAGCAATTGCATCATTCGTCCCAGCCCATTGATGTATTTGTACAATCTGTATAACATAAAAAATGACATAAACATCAAATTATGCATATATAGGAAATGTGAAGAATAGAGTTTCATAAACACAAATTTAAAGTATAAAAACAAACATTAATATAGCTAATGAGCATCACTACTAGCACATATAACAACTCAATAAAGTATTATCCCAAACATTTTATTGCCAATTTTATTACCTTCAGTTCTTTTTTAGACTATTTATTGACATTATACTATCTTTAACCTTAACAAACCTATTAAGCTAGTTTCGATTATCACACCAAGCCATGCAAACTTATCAAACAAGCAAAACAATCAAAATCACTCAAATTAAACCTCCAAGGATAACAAGAATTTTATGAATTCTCTCTTATAAAATAATAATGAAATAGTAAATAAAAAAACTTATTTACAAGTAAACACATATGTCTAATTAACCTCAACATTTTTATCTATAAACAAATCCTAGATTCAAAATCTATTTTTCTTCCTCAAAATAAAAACATCACCTGCTAATCAATAAAAAAAGAAGCAAATTCCATAAACCCAAACCAATACTCATATGAACTTCAAGACTCTCGAGGGTTGTCTGAAAAAATTTAAAACTTTTAGCCTCTTGAATAACTGACAAGTCATTTCCAATAACCCTAAAACCTTTAATAAAAAAAAGTTTGGATACTTGATTGATATTGTTTTATTTAAACATGATGTCGTTTTAATTGTTTAGTTTTTGGTTGTTGGTTTTGAGGGAGTTGATTGAGCTAAGAAAGTGAGAGTGTGACATTGAATGAACAACACCGTTTAATTTATCATGTAAATCCCTTTTTTTTTTGTAACATAACTTCTATTTTTTTTCATTCATCTTCCATTTCATTGAATAAGATTAACATAGTAGCAAAAAAAAAAAAGGTGTGAGAAAAAAGATGAAAGAGTTGTTGGCCAATAGCTATACCAACTTCTTCAATGCTTTAAGCTTTTTTTCTAGAGATATATAGGAATAACATTTCAATGAGAGAAAAGGGATTTTAGTTATTATTTTAGTTATCTCGTTGGAGCTTTAAATAAAGGATGAGATGTTCAATTGGTAGTTTTTTTCATTTATATTTTTTTTTTACCTCTTATATTAGAGATGTTTTTCTTCAAGAATCTCTATATGAGTCACAGTTAAAGAGGTCCACTAGACCTCATTAATTATATGAATCCTGACTATATAAGTCTTTAGTGACCTTTATGGGATTTAAACTTATGACCATTAAAAACCAAACCTAATGTTCCAATCTCTTTTACGATTCTCTTTTTTTTTTGTTTTTTAACATTCATAAACAATGACCCCGTATCAATAAAACAATGTAGAAGAGATTAATTAATTATACTTTTATCATTTTTACTTAGTAAATTTTTTAAATAGTTTGACAGTTATGAGTCGACCAATATAACAATTTGTTTTCTCTGATAGAATTAGTCAAATTAAATAATATAATCAGTTGTCAAAATAAAAAACGACCTCTCTTATATCATCAAATTATGTCTTTGTTTTGTTCGTTTTCTTTTTAAGGAAAGAGTAAAAAACTTGTGAGTGTGGTGTGGCTGATTTGAATTTCAATAACCAAGTTTCATATTTATGCTTAACTTTTATGTTTTTTATTTACATTTTAATTCTTTAATTAAAATAAATTGAGTGCAATACTATTGATCGATACTCTAAGAATATATATATATATATATATATATATATATATATATATAAAAAGAAAGCAATCACAATAAATTCTTGTAAAAAAATAAAGAAAAATTATTCATCTTATAAAAAGTCACGTACTAATCACATATCTCTAGATTAATTAAATAATTCTAATAGTATAAATATTATAAAGAAAGCTCTTGCATCAATATTTAGGTTATTTCATATCTCTTTTTTAATAAATAGACAATATAGTCTCGTATGGAAAAAAGAAAAAAACAATTAAAGACTATAAATAAGCCATTACATCATACTTCTTTTTAATCCGTAATGTTGTCTGTAGATGGAAATCAAATCCTGTAATGGAATCCATTTGTTTTAATCA